TGAAAAAACTGTAACTGTAACTAGTTACTTTTATAAACTTTCCCAACCCTGCAAATTATTGATACTTTCTACTATTATCATTATTGATAGTGCTTGCATTAGCTTTTTGAGAACAAAGTGTAAGATCGCTGTTATATTGAATGTTAGATACCCCGAAGGGAGATCCCTGCTCACCCTCGCCTTGCGGACCCAACAGTGTTTGCCGAGAAAACAACGGGCAACCTGTGTGCTCGTGCGTGGGGGGATTCCTCGGCATACCGCCAGCATGCAAACCGGAATGCACTGTCAGTTCCGAGTGTCTTCTGACAGAAGCATGTAGCAATCAAAAATGCATAAATCCTTGTCTTGGCGCATGCGGAGTTCAAGCTACATGTCAAGTGATCAATCACAATCCCATATGTAGCTGCGGAGAGCTTACCGGAGACCCATTCATTCGATGTGTTCCACGGCGTAAGAACAAATACCAATTACAAAGAATCACTAAGCAATTAACATTGATATCGGTTTTAATGGGTCCAATGCAGATATCTGGATATAACGTATGGAAATATGAAAGAAAATTTTAATCCCGCTCTTCTCAAATTTCAAACGCATTAAAGATCAGCGATAATTTCACGAAGAGCAAAGTTGTAAATAGTTTTACACTGTTTCACATAACATTCGTTATTACAAAACATATAACAAATATTTGACAAAAGTTTCAAAGAATTTTTACTATGAATACTTAGCTCGATTTTATTTAACATCTCGAGTAACCCGTGCGTTTTGTTCGAAATAATCGTAATATTTTGAGTTTGAAACTCGTTTAGTTCCAAACTTTTTATTCAACCGTTTTTCTTTCCACTAGCACCCGAACCTGTATTACAAACGAACCCCTGTGTGCCGTCTCCTTGTGGAGCGAACGCCGAATGTCGAGTTGTAGGCGATGCTCCCTCGTGCTCGTGTCTAGCTGGATTCCTGGGTCTGCCACCGTATTGTAAACCAGAATGCATTAGCAACAGTGAATGTCCTGCCCATTTAGCGTGCATGAATCAAAAGTGTAGGGATCCTTGCGAGGGCTCCTGCGGGGTCAACGCCGAATGTCGTGTGGTGAGCCACACGCCCATGTGTGTTTGTCCTAGCGATTTCACCGGTGATCCATTTACACAATGTATATTGAAACCACGTAAGCATCGATTTCATACCTACAGAACTCAAATTATATTTAGATCCGAGCAAAATGTAAGAAACGTTTAGTTTTCGATTTTCAAGATCACGCTCGATTACAAGATCACGTTAAGACTTTCGGACTTAACGTGAATCTTCCCTAATCTTCTTTTGAGAAAACATCGCTAACAATTTTTTAGATGTTTCCTAGTTCATATTTCATTTTCAGCCACACCAGTCCTATTGTCGCCCTGTAAACCATCACCTTGTGGCTTTAATGCCATTTGCAAGGAACAGTTCGGCGCCGGTTCCTGTTCTTGCTTACCAGATTACGTCGGCAATCCTTACGAAGGATGTCGACCAGAGTGCGTGGTTGATACAGATTGCATATCTATTCTTGCTTGTGTACAATCAAAGTGCAGAGATCCATGTCCTGGTGTCTGCGGACAATTTGCCGAATGTCAAGTTATTAATCATCGACCATCTTGCACATGTATTTCCGGCTATAGTGGCAACCCCTTCCAATACTGTACTGTAATGCGCGATATCGGTACGAATATTTTCTTGAATACCGTAAAACTTCAAGCCTTGCCTATTGCAATTCGCTTTACATTCTTATTGTTCTTTATAATTTCATAATATTATCTTTTTGCTTCAAATTAAGTTTTTATGTGTTAATTTAATTCAAGAATGAGTATATAATTACGTCGCCATATTTTTATAAATCAATCTTTTAAATTACTTTTCCTTCTTTAATACCAAAAATTTGAAAGATGCATTTATCATTCTAGTCGATACTCCAAGAGACGTTTGCAATCCATCGCCTTGCGGACCCAACAGCCAATGTCGTGTTAATAATAATCAAGCAGTCTGTTCTTGCCTACCGAATTTCATCGGTAATCCACCCGCATGTCGCCCTGAATGCGTGACAAACTCAGATTGTTCTCTCAATCTTGCTTGCTTGAGTCAAAAATGCCAAGACCCTTGTCCTGGCTCTTGTGGTAGAAATTCGAATTGCAGAGTCATCAAACATAATCCAATTTGTTCTTGCAAGAACGGCTTTACCGGCGATCCATTTACCGTTTGCTTCCACACACCTGGTATGATTTCCAATTTTCGTTTAATATAGTTAGTATTTATTTCCGGCGAATATACAGGGTGGTCAATTTAAGTGTGGACATGGAAATATCTCGAGAACTATGCATAGGATCAAAAAATGGCTGGAGTAGAAGTTGTTTGTCTCGAAGGGGCCTATCCATTGGAATCAAAATTGACTCCTACCCCCACTTCCTGAGGAGGGGAAAGGGTAACTTTGAAATCTTCAATGGAAACTTCCATTGTTTATTATACTATTTTATTCTACTAATTAATATGAATAACTTTTGTCTGAAGTATTTTTTTAGAGATATTCAAGAGAAAATTGATAACTTTTTCAATATTTAGCTTATGATATCTTGATAACGGTTTGTCGGAGAGAAAAGTAGTACAAGACTTTGCTGCCTGTAAATCCTGTACTACTTTTCCCTCCGACAAACAGTTGTCGAGATATCGATGTCGAGAAACGATTGTCGAGATATCATGAGCTAAATATCGAAAAAGTTATCAATTTTATGTTGAATATCTCGAAAAGTATTAGGCAAATAAAAAAATGTTTCAGACAAAAGTTATTCATATTAATTAGTAGAATAAAATATGTAGTATAATAAACAATGGAAGTTTCCATTGAAGATTTCAAAGTTACCCTTTCCCCCCTCAGGGGGTGGGGGGTAGGGGTCAATTTTGATTCCAATGGATAGGCCCCTTCGAGACAAACAACTTCTACTCCGACCATTTTTTTGATCCTATGCATAGTTTTCGAGATATTTTCATGTTCACACTTAAATTGACCACCCTGTATATTGTGGGTGTTATATCAATTCACAATTATTTCCCGGAATAAATACACTCGAACCTCGATAAAGTGTTCATCTGAAAAGTACTTAAAGTTATTCCGAGATCACGTGTAACTATATTCGAATAATATTCGAATTGATAAATAATAATATTTGTTGGCAACGCCTAAAATTTCTGGCCTGACTTTTAACGCAATCAGAAGCAATGCTTCGCTTTTGATTGACATTTATAAGAATGCTCTATCGAGATTGGAGTATTTATGAAATTAATTGGATTTTGTAATAATTTTATATCTTTTAAACTGTAAATTATCGTAATTACAGTGAGTCCACCCATTGTAAGTGACATTGCGAGAGACCCGTGTGTACCGTCACCTTGTGGCATGTTTTCCGAATGTCGTGATATAGGAGGAGTGCCGTCGTGTTCTTGCTTACCAACGTACAGAGGCAGTCCACCAAATTGTAAACCGGAATGTACCATAAATGCAGAGTGTCCAGCTAATATGGCTTGTATGCAGCAAAAATGTAGAGATCCCTGTCCAGGCTCGTGTGGCATTATGGCCGAATGCAGTGTCGTAAATCACGTACCGATTTGTTCATGTTTGCCTGATTACACTGGCGACCCTTTCATCGGATGTACTATAAGACCACGTAAGATTTCCCATCGGAAATACATAATAATAAGTTCTTGTTATTTCCCCGATAGCATACTTCATCCTCTTCTTGCGTGAAATTATTGCAGTTGTTGTTGCACCCTCAAAACCGGATCCATGCACACCTTCACCTTGCGGACCCAATACGCAATGTAACGGAGGAATTTGCGTTTGCATAGCAGAATATTTCGGGGACCCTTACAGTGGTTGCCGGCCAGAATGCGTATTGAATAACGATTGTCCAAACACGCAGGCATGCGTGCGAAATAAGTGTGTCGATCCTTGTCCAGGTGTTTGTGGCCAAAATGCTGTGTGCAATGTATACAACCATATCCCTATGTGTAGTTGTTCATCGGGAATGGATGGAAATGCTTTCGTCTTGTGCTCTCCCGTGCCAGGTATTTTTAGGAAGTTCCAAGCATAACAGCTGACACGTTCAAAATTCTTAGCACATTGAATCTTCATTCTGTTAAATTAAAATCTTTCTTGTAGCACCACCCGTTAGTAACCCGTGTAATCCGTCCCCGTGTGGTCCGAACAGCCAATGCCGGCAAAATAATATGCAGGCTGTATGCAGTTGCATAAGTGGATTTGTCGGCGCACCTCCGACTTGCAGACCCGAATGTGTAATTAGCTCAGATTGCCCGAAGAACGAGGCGTGTACTAATCAAAAATGTCGGGACCCTTGTCCGGGAAGTTGTGGGCGCAACACAGTCTGCAACGTCATTAATCACAATCCTGTCTGCGTCTGCCGTTCTGGGATGACCGGAGACCCGTTTATTAACTGTTTCCCCCTTCGTAAGAGAACTCTTGTTTTATCCTTTCTAGAATATCGTCAAGTAATAAATCTTCTACACGTAAATTGCCTTCGCAATTTATGTTATTTTATTATTTTGAACATGCATAACATAAATAAACCACGATAGTGCCTCAGTCAATTAACCGGTATTACTTTTAAAGCTGAGGAACCGTTACCTGCACTTAATCCCTGTCAGCCATCGCCATGTGGACCAAACGCGCAATGTCAAGTGATCAATGATCAACCCTCTTGTTCATGTTTGCAAGAATTTATCGGATCACCTCCGAACTGTCGATATGAATGCATCAGCAACAGCGAATGCTCGAATAAATTGGCCTGCATCAACCAAAAATGTCGCGACCCATGCATAAACGCATGCGGTATCAATGCCGTTTGCAATGTTGTTAGTCATACGCCGATGTGCGCCTGTACTCCCGGTTATACTGGCGATCCGTTTACACAGTGTTCTCCCCAACAATGTAAGAGAATTTTTGCAAATAATTCAAATATTCAGATATTTAAAAAGTCAGATGCACAGTCTTTATTCTATTTCTATTAATCTCCATGAGCTTGTTATTTATTTGTAAGAATTATATTAATATTGGATCAGTATTACAAGATTATAATTTATCGACAAATTCATTTTTCAAATGGATAATCTAATTGCTATTCTATTCTCATTTTAGTCGATATACAACCTAGCATATCCACGCCATGCACACCATCTCCGTGTGGTGCAAATGCGGTGTGCAGAGTTCAGCAAAATGCAGGTTCTTGTTCGTGCTCGTCTGATTATATCGGTAACCCTTACGAGGGGTGCAGACCCGAGTGTACGCTCAATTCCGATTGTCCGTCCAATCAGGCGTGTATCGGTTCGAAATGCAAAGATCCGTGTCCAGGAACGTGCGGGCAAAACGCGCAGTGCTACGTGATTAATCATGCGCCAACTTGCACTTGCTTCGAGCGTTACACGGGAAATCCATTTATATTCTGCAATCTTATCATCGAAGCCCGTAAGAGATTGCTTAAAGCTCGTGCACGTCTATCCTGGCGACAATTACGTGACTTTAAATGTTTAACTTTCTTGCAGCGGTTGCAGCAGACAATGTCAATCCTTGTCAACCATCCCCTTGCGGACCATATAGTCAATGCAGAGCAAGCAACGGCCAAGCCGTTTGTTCTTGCCTGCCGACTTATATTGGCGCACCGCCCGGTTGTAGACCCGAATGCACAGTCAGCACGGATTGCGCGACAAATCGCGCTTGCGAGAATAATAAATGTGTTGATCCTTGTCCCAACTCGTGCGGCCAAGGTACGACGTGTAGAGTCGTGAACCACAGTCCAATATGCATGTGCAAACCCGGATTCAGCGGTGATCCATTCGTACGCTGCTTATTCGTACCACGTAAGCGGACAAATATGTACATTGAAACTCTTTTACTTCAGTTTGTCATTTCTTCACTTTTAAAAATTGTCAATCCTTGCCATTTCAATTCAATTGAAAAATATTCATATTATCAAATATTTATTTTAGAAGCATTTTTTAATAGTTTTGCTTTGAGATTTAGAGATTTCACATTAAATTTTAGCTACTCCGAGCGTACCGAGTCTGCCCTCGGATCCTTGCATACCCTCTCCGTGCGGACCCAACTCACAATGCCGCAATGCCAATGGTTACCCATCTTGTTCTTGTATGATTAATTACATTGGTACACCACCAAGTTGTCGCCCCGAATGCATTATTCCTGCTGACTGTCCGAGCAACCAGGCTTGCATTCGCGAAAGATGCCAAGATCCCTGTCCAGGTTCTTGTGGTATAAATGCTGATTGTACTGTTCACAATCACATTCCAATCTGTAGGTGTATAGCCAGTTATACTGGCGATCCATTTATTGGCTGTCAACCTGTGCCAATCTGTAAGTTATATAACGAAATCTTAATCTTTTTGTAACTATGTATTTTATAGTGTACTTAGAATTTACTTTAAACTGAAAATTATAATAATGTAGACAACGAGCAAGTGCAGCCAACTGATCCATGCAGTAGATCACCTTGTGGACCAAACGCCCAATGCAACAATGGCATTTGCACTTGTTTACCTGAATACTTTGGCGACCCATACATTGGCTGTCGACCAGAATGCGTACTTAGTACAGATTGCTCAACCGATAAGGCTTGCATACGAAACAAGTGTATTGATCCTTGTCCAGGTACCTGTGGACAAAATAGTTTATGCAACGTGATAAATCATACACCAATGTGCAGTTGTCCTCCCGGCACTGCTGGAAACGCGTTTATTTCTTGTAATACAATGACAGGTACGATACCGAAAGCAAGAAACCTGACCCATGTGTTCGTGAATATGCTAATTAATATTTACCCATACATAGTTCCGTCCGTGACAAGACCGTGCAGCCCGAATCCTTGCGGTCCAAACAGCATATGTCGAGAATTAAATGGACAAGCCGTGTGCACCTGTGCACCAGAGTTCCTTGGATCGCCGCCTCTCTGCCGACCCGAATGTACCCTTAGTTCAGATTGTCGGCTGAATGAAGCTTGCGCTAATCAGAAATGTAGAGATCCTTGTCCCGGTACATGTGGCATCCAAGCAAGCTGTGTAGTCGTCAATCACAACCCTGTCTGCTCGTGCCCCGAACGCTACACAGGCGATCCATTCATCAGATGCGATGTTATGAGTAAGGCAATCTTGACTCGAAGTGTCTTGCATAAGCCCCGACCACCAGATTAAGATCGAAATGTATTATCCTGTTTAGAACCAGTAGCACCCGTAGTAATAAACCCTTGCCAGCCTTCGCCCTGCGGTCCGTACGCTCAGTGCCAGGTCGTCAACGATTTGCCATCTTGCTCGTGCTTACCTGAGTACAGAGGCTCGCCCCCGTATTGTCGACCCGAATGTATTTCCAATCCCGAATGCCCCAGCCATCAAAGTTGTGTGCGACAAAAGTGCAGAGATCCCTGTCCAGGCTTATGCGGGGAGAATTCCGAGTGCCACGTGGTACAACATGTGCCCCATTGCGTCTGTTCTTACGGTCTCACCGGTGATCCGTACACACGCTGCTCTGCGATACGTAAGGGATAAAAACCCTTTTATATGAAACCACGAGACCATCCGACCTTACGCTTATGCGACGTTGCTTAATCCATTTACCCTTTACATTGTTTTAGCACGCCCAACAGAATTGGAACCAGAACCATCGCCCTGCGCAAGTTTCGAATGCGGCGCGAATGCGATATGTAGAGAACGAGATGGTGTCGCAATTTGTCAGTGTCTCTCTAGCTATGTTGGCAATCCATACTTAGCGTGTCGACCCGAATGCGTCATTAATCCCGACTGCCCATCCAATTTAATGTGCGTAAGAAACAAGTGCGCCAATCCCTGCGCCGGCATGTGCGGCCAGAATGCTGAATGCTCGGTTGTCAATCATCAACCAATGTGCACATGTCTCCCCGGATATACCGGAGACCCCTTCATTACCTGTTCCGTAGATAGTAAGTGTCCTTGGTCGAACCGTCTAATATTTTGCGGAAATCTTTTATAATAAAAATAACATCAAAAGTTTTATTTTTACTAAAAAGTATATGACATAAAAATATTGAATTCACTAACAATTTTGCCTTATATGTTTCATCTCATTTTCTAAACCTTCAGACGAGACTTCTTGTATTCAGACCATTAAATACTATAAGTATATTAAAATTTATTATGAGACATTCTATACAGTTCATTTACATTCTTTTATTTTCAAAATTTTAATTTTATTTAAAGGAATTTTAAAAAGTTTAATTAAAATTTTATACTTTTAATTAATATTTAAATCATATTTTTCAGAAAAAAAGTTTTGCATATTATATTTTTACACATATACATTCCTATATATATACATATTACATGTATAAACTAATATAATTTATATTCATATATAAATTATATTATTTGAAAGTAATTTATACTATTTCAAAATGATAAGGATGTTTTATGAGACGTTACTTTTTAATAAATTTAGAACTATTAAAAATTAATATTGCTTTTTAGAAGCAAATTTTTTAAAACTGTTGGACGTCTATACTTATCTACGTGAATTTTACTAATGTATTACATTTTTCCCAGAAATAATCTCAGACGAGAACGTTTGTGCCCCATCACCCTGTGGACCCAACAGCAAATGCAAAGAAGTGTCCGGACAGGCTGTCTGTTCATGTCTCCCGACGTACATTGGAACCCCACCTGCATGTAGACCTGAATGTGTCGCTAGCTCAGAGTGTTCCCCGCAATTAGTGTGCAAGGACTACAAATGCGTGAATCCCTGCCCAAGCCCATGTGGACTCAATACCAATTGCGTGGTCGTTAATCACAGTCCCATCTGCAGTTGTATGTCCGGTTATAGCGGCGATCCGTTCACCATATGCTCGTTAATTCCACGTAAGATCACCATTGAATACAGGAAGCACTATATTAATCCAACCTCTCTCATGTACTGCCCAATGTCCTTTATATATCGTACGATAGTCATCATGAACCATAATTGCGAATATCTTTCAGCTGTAACACCACCACTTGTTCAGAAAGACCCTTGCGTGCCATCCCCATGTGGTAGTTTCTCCCAATGCAGGAATATTGGTGGTTCTCCCGCGTGTACCTGCCTGGAGAATTACATGGGTCAACCGCCTAATTGCAGACCCGAATGTACCATACACTCAGAATGCCCAAGTGATAAAGCCTGCATCAATATGAAATGTGTGGATCCATGTCCCGGCTCATGCGGCACCAATGCCCTATGTTCGGTCATTAATCATATTCCCACGTGCAGATGCCCCGAGGGATACACTGGAAATACCTTTGTCCTTTGCGAGATATTACCAGCAACACGTAAGCGTCACGTACCATCCTGAGTAGTACCCTAATTCGAAAACGTGTCATTCGAAATCTCAACATGGCTCGAAGCATGACTCGAGCTTGTTAATTCCTGTATTCATTATATTTTGCAGCGACTCCATCCCTGGTCGAAGATGCTTGCGTCCCATCACCCTGTGGTCCTAACGCGCAATGCTTTAACGGTATCTGTACTTGCCTACCAGAGTTCCGAGGAGATCCGAATGTAGGTTGCCGACCGGAATGCGTTCTAAACGCGGATTGTCCTCGCGATAGAGCGTGCATGCGTAACAAATGTCTGGACCCATGCCCTGGAGCTTGCGCCGTTAATGCGCTATGCACCGTGATCGGTCACGTTCCCATGTGCAGTTGCCCTGGAAATATGACCGGCAATGCATTCAGTCAATGCACACCTCTACAAGGTACATAGTGTTCCCAGGAGTGTTTAAAGACCACCCTTATTTTGCGATACTATAAAATTATGTGAAGTAACTATATGCTCTTTCGTGTAGTTCAAATTATTCTCGGGAACTAAATACCCATTATTTTTGTATACTAGACATGCCACCCGCTAATCCATGCGCCCCTTCACCCTGCGGACCGAATAGCGAGTGCCGCGTTATAAATAACCAGGCAGTTTGCTCCTGTATACGAGGATATCTAGGTAGCCCTCCGACCTGTAGACCGGAGTGCATAGTAAGCACGGATTGCCCCCAGAATGAAGCTTGTAGCAACCAAAAATGTATGAATCCGTGTTCTGGAAGTTGCGGATTAGGTGCATCCTGTCAAGTAGTGAATCATAATCCGATTTGCGTTTGCCCACCCTCTCAAACAGGCGATCCTTTTGTTAGATGTTATTTACCGCCACGTAAGTATCGCTTCGCGGACTCATGGTCCGTGATTAGGATCCATTCTCCAGAAAGTCTTAAGAAAATTCTTCTTCTTTCTTTTATACATTGAACTTTGTCCTTTTAGCACAAGTACCTGTGTTACCTCCTATGCCATGCAGGCCAAATCCGTGCGGCCCCAACTCGCAATGCCAACCGCGTGGCGACGAGTCTGTGTGCACGTGTTTACCCGATTTCATTGGCAGCCCGCCTAATTGCAGAGCAGAGTGCGTTAGTAATAGCGAGTGTTCTAATCATTTAGCCTGCATTAATAAGAGATGTCAGGATCCGTGCGTTGGTTCCTGCGGTGAAAATGCTAATTGTCACGTTGTCAGTCACACCCCGATGTGTTCTTGCGTGAACGGTTACACTGGTGATCCATTCACGCAATGCATTTTGAGAGAACGTAAGTACTGTTCAGAACTAAAACTGGTATAATTTCGGTGATCTGCTGAATGTTCAATGCCGTAGACACAGGAAAGTGCATCTCATGGCAAAATTGTAGTATTACTATCACAAATAAACGTAGAAATTCTTCCTGTATCTCTTTCGTTGAAATGAAAAATCACTGCAATTATACTGATTTTGGTATCTGATTTATACAGAGATGTTCAAATCTCTCCTTTCATCGTATTCCCCATGTTCACTGATGTCGTCTTTTAGCTACACCATTGCCGCCTACACCTGTTGATCCTTGCACTCCTTCTCCTTGCGGCTCCAATGCAGTCTGCAAGGAATTTAACGGTGCCGGTTCGTGTACGTGCTTGCCGAATTATACCGGCAATCCGTACGAAGGATGCAGGCCAGAGTGTATCCTAAATTCGGATTGCCCTGCCAATCTGGCTTGTATAAATACGAAATGTAGAGACCCATGCCCGGGATCGTGTGGGCGTAACGCGTTATGCCAGGTGGTTAATCATTTGCCTGTATGCAACTGTTATCCTAGATACACCGGCGACGCCTTCTTATATTGCACTCCAGTAGAAACAGGTATATTGCGCAATTACATTGCATCTAAATACATATATCGTTCATCGCAATTGTGCGGTTGATAGTACCATGCAAGTGGTTGATTTGTGAAACAACGCAATTTTTAGAAGCAGACATTGCCGTTAGTAATCCTTGCCAACCATCACCATGTGGACCGAACAGTTTATGTCGTGTTGTGAATAACACGAGTGTCTGCACTTGCTTACCTGATTTCCAGTGGGTGGCCAGTCCACCAAACTGTCGCCCTGAGTGCACTGTTAGTGTCGAATGCGCTTTCAATCTGGCGTGCATCTCGTATAAATGTAGCGACCCTTGTCCTACATTGTGCGGTTCTAACGCAAGATGCGAAACCATCAATCATAATCCCATATGTTCGTGCCCACCTAGTTTTACCGGAGATCCATTCGTTGCCTGCTTTGAAACGCCACGTAAGAATCAATGAAAATCGAAAATCTCATAAATTGAAAACATAAAGTGGAATAGGCCAATCATTAAGAGAGCGAGAAAATATTTTCTCAAATTCCGAATCTTCTCTTCAGAAAATTTCTTCTTTCCTTTCGTATTCTTTTTGCTTCAAAATGAAATAAATTTTTTTAGTATTGACTTTTTGTTCTCGTATTAAATGAAATCTTTACTTTTTGTTATTTTAATTAGGAAAATTGTATTAAAATGTTATCAAAGATATTCAAGTAAAAGTGCATAACACATATTTATATGCCCTTAGCTAAAGATGAAGAACCCCGTCCACTTGTGAATCCTTGTGCACCTTCACCCTGCGGACCTTATTCAGAATGCCGTGATATTAATGGTCAAGCGTCCTGCGCTTGTTTATCAACATATATAGGAACGCCACCCAATTGTAGGCCCGAATGTTCAGTTAATCCAGAATGTCCGACTAGTCAGGCGTGTATACAGAGAAAGTGTCGAAATCCTTGCGATGGAGTATGTGGGGTAGAAGCAATTTGTAATGTCATTCGTCACACACCTACATGTTCTTGTTCCAATGGGTTTACTGGGGATCCATTTATAGTGTGTAGACCAATTCCTGAGGAAGGTAAGACGGTCACAAGATATTTGTGATGCCATTATTAGAAATAGACAAATCTGAGAATTATACCACTTTATGGTGTTTAGAATATAGCAAATAAATTACATAAACTTAGCTCCATCGCATACTGAATACTAAAATTCGTTCCTCAGATATAGCACCCAAACCGATGGATCCGTGCTTAAACTGCGGTGCAAATACACAATGCTTTAACGGTGTATGCAGTTGTCTTCCCGAGTATCAAGGGAATCCAAACTTCGGATGTCGCCCAGAATGTATTTTAAATTCGGACTGTCCGAGAGACCGAGCTTGCATTAAGAGCAAGTGTCGAGATCCGTGTAGTCTCGGAATCTGCGGTGTCAATGCCGTGTGTTCTGTCGTAAATCATGTACCAGTCTGCAGTTGCACACAGGGAATGTCTGGCAACGCGTTCGTGCAGTGCTCTCCAATAAATGGTATTCTCGAGTGATTAATTTCAGATTGTGTCGTGAATGATCAGTATTATACTAACTCCCTCCTGTGTAATCATATTCTTTTTAACATTTAAACAGACATTATACCAAAAGACCCATGTAACCCGACACCCTGTGGACCAAATAGTCAGTGCCGAAGGATAAAGGAGCAAGCTGTCTGCTCGTGTCTCCCTGGATACTTGGACGCACCACCTAATTGCCGAGCAGAATGCACTATTAGTTCCGACTGTCTCGCCAACATGGCTTGCAATAATCAGAAATGCATAGATCCCTGTCCTGGAACGTGCGGCATCAGAGCCCAATGTACCGTAGTTAATCATAATCCGATTTGTTCTTGTCTCTCCGAGTTGACCGGCGATCCCTTCACTCAGTGTATCCCAAGACGTGAGTAATTTAAAAGCAGTAGTTAACCAGCCGCGCAGATATATTTGTCATTAGGCACCTATGTATTCTTTATTTTTCCAATAGCGGCAGAGCCTCCAACACCTATTAATCCTTGCGTTCCGTCTCCATGTGGACTTAACAGCAAGTGCGACATTGCGAACAATGCATATTCATGCTCTTGCTTGCCGGAGTTTGTTGGTGACCCGCCGAATTGTAGACCCGAATGCGTTAGCAATAGCGAGTGTCCCACGCAGCTAGCATGCATCAATCAGAAATGTCGCGATCCATGTCCGGGCTCTTGTGGTATTAATTCTGATTGCCGAGTGATAAGTCACACGCCTATGTGCGTTTGCCTTATCGGATTCGTAGGAGATCCGTTTGTATTATGCAATCCCAAACAAAGTAAGTGGAGTAATCATTTAGTAGTATCTAAAGTGCCTTATAATCATAGAATGACTTTCTGGTTGCCGACATTATGACAGATTTTTCATGATGATTAAACTAAATTCTTGTGTTAAGATCAAGTTTAGTTGATATTAAATGAAAAATAAGATACTATAAGATATTATATATTACCTATGTTTAAACTGTCATTTACATTTATTTTATATATTGCAATATTTTATACATAACTTATTATTTGATATTATTATATATTTAATACTTGTTATTAAAAATCGATGCCTAGCTGTTATTAATTAATTAATATTTTACTACGACTTCATTCTGTGATTGAAAATATGCATCTAAAGATTCTCTGAACTGTTACATTGATAATAATTTACCAGGCCATTAATATTACTGTAAGAACAGGAAATGAATCTGATATCTTGTTGTAGACGACATTATAAATGTTGTAAAACCAACACCCTGCATTCCATCGCCATGCGGTTTTAATGCAGTATGCCGCGAATCGAACGGTGTCGGTTCTTGTACATGTCTACGAGATTATACAGGCAATCCATATGATGGTTGTCGACCCGAGTGCACGATCAATTCCGATTGCACCGCGGATCGAGCGTGCGTTGGATCGAAGTGTCAGAATCCTTGTCCAGGTTTCTGCGGGTACAATGCAATTTGCCAAGTAGTGAGTCACGCACCATTGTGCACTTGTCAACCCGGATACAGCGGTAACCCGTTCGTCTCTTGTAACAGAATTATGCAAGATACGAGTAAGTGTTTCAAATTCTTGAAGGACCTACAGTTTAATCTAATTCGACGATTTAACAGAATAATTTCAAAACCTAAGTTATCCCAAATTAATTACAGTACTGTCTGTAGAATAAATTTTATGAACCTTTCAGTGCAAGTGATATGTCAGTAACTTTTAGTAGCTTTATGTAATTATTACAAATTATATATTTTTTTCAACTATTCAAAATTCACGTAACTTTACGCAATTTAACTCAAGTTCTTTTTTAGCGGTAGAACGTAATCCATGCAGTCCTTCTCCCTGTGGACTTAATAGCCAGTGCCGCGAATTAAACGGTCAAGCTGTATGCTCTTGCTTACCCACATTTATCGGAACTCCGCCCAACTGTCGCGCGGAATGCACTGTCAGCTCCGACTGTCCTGTAAATCGTGCGTGCAAAAACCGCAAGTGCATTGATCCGTGCCCCGGGATCTGTGGCATCAATGCGAGATGCGAAGTGATTAATCATAGTCCAATTTGCAGTTGTAACCAAGGTTTTACCGGTGACCCCTTCGTAACGTGCTTCCAAACGCGTAAGTACGCTGTGAAGTGTGAAACACTTGTTAATGCGTCCTTGCATACTGCTCTGCATATATTTCTCTAAAGTGCGTCACGCAATCATAATGTTAAAAGAATTGAAATTATTCGTTTACAGACATAGACAAAGATACCCCCCAGGTGTCAGAAAATCCGTGCGTTCCATCCCCCTGCGGCCCATTTGCCACTTGCCGCGATAGCGGCTACGCGGGTGTGCCGACGTGCACGTGTCTGGAAAATTATATTGGTAGTCCTCCAAACTGTCGGCCAGAATGCACCATAGATTCTGAGTGCGGCAGTAATCAAGCCTGCTTGAGACAAAAATGCCGAGATCCATGCCCGGGCTCGTGTGGTATCGGTGCCCAATGCCTTGTGGTTAATCACATGGCCGTCTGCCTCTGTCCAAAGGGTTACACCGGAGATGCGTTTGCTAATTGCTTCCCGGAACCTCCTCGTAAGCACTTATCCTCGTTACTTTATAATTGTTGTATCATCACCCATATGAGTGTAAGAGAAAATGAAGGGTCGTAGATGCAAGTACCTGAAGTTAACTCCTTAATAAGAGTTTCTAAGTAAATTATCAATATTTACAATACAATTTGAACATTAACGAAAACTAATGTCGGTTATAACTTTATTACAATGAGTCAATGTAATTGGATACTTCCAAGCTTTTTATCAAGTGACAGTGATAGTTTCAAAATAATGTTATAACCCAGCAAACACCAAAGTAACAGTTACATAACATCATTATAAATGTAATATAACACATGCCTGTTATATTACATTTGCATTGATGTTATGTAATTGTTACTTTGGTGTTAGCTGGGAAAATACTTCAAATACGAAACTGAAACCTTATGTTCTATGCAAGCCCTTTAAAAGCAAAGATGTTCATTCAAGATAAACATTTGCAGCTGCACCCGTACCACAAGATCCTTGTAATCCATCCCCGTGCGGGGCCAACGCGGTATGTCGCGACGGCACTTGCACCTGTCTACCGGAGTATCGCGGTGATCCTTACACTGCGTGTCGACCCGAATGCGTACAAAATCCAGACTGCCCATTAGACAAGGCGTGCGTTCGCAATAAGTGCTTCGACCCATGCACCGGAGTTTGCGGACAAAATGCAAAGTGCACAGTCATAAATCACACTCCAATGTGCGCCTGCCCAGACGGAATGTCTGGCAATGCATTTGCGGCATGTTATCCAGTTCAAGGTAAAACTTATTGATAATCGTGTGCCATGTGCACATCGAAGACAATTATTAACTGGAGATTTTTGTACAAGCGTCATTTTGTCGCAAAGTAATTCCAAGGATATCTCGGGGGAAAAAAAACGACTTCGTCTATAATTACTTTTGCAGATCAAACTGTCGTTGAGAACCCGTGTAATCCGTCGCCCTGCGGTCCAAACAGTCGATGCCAGAACTATAATAATCAAGCAATATGTACGTGTATACCTGGGTACATAGGAAATCCGCCAGCCTGCCGACCCGAGTGCATAGTTAATACCGATTGTGCGCTGAACGAAGCTTGCATTAATATGAAATGTGGCAATCCTTGCTTGGGTGCGTGCGGTATATCCGCTCGTTGCCAAGTGTTGAATCATAATCCAATCTGCACTTGCCCTCCTGTATTCACCGGCGATCCGTTCATACGTTGCGTACCAAGACGTAGGTTTCTCTAATTATTGTAAACGTCAGTACATGCGCGTTCGTGTTGGGCGTGTAACAATTTGTGTCTTTTTTTTATCTTAAAGCGGAGGATGTTCCAAAGCCAATAAATCCGTGCCAACCATCGCCTTGTGGCCCCAATTCTCAGTGTCAAGTCACCAATGATACGCCGTCGTGCTCTTGCACGGCAGAGTTTATAGGGACGCCACCAAACTGTAGACCAGAATGCATTAGTAACAGCGAATGCCCGAGCCAAATGGCGTGTATTAATCGCAAGTGTAGAGATCCATGTCCTGGATCTTGTCACCCTCTAGCTAATTGCTACGTCGTTAATCATGTGCCCACCTGCACGTGTCGTGTTGGTTACACGGGCGATCCATTTGTTCAATGCACGATCATGCCCAGTAAGTTTGAGACTTAACTTCTGAGTTATTCTTTTTAAGAACATCTCATGGATCGTAACTTAGATTTTTACAGTAATATTTCGATTATTACATTATAGTAATATCATGTTTATGAAACTTAATCGACAGAGTTCTATTGATTGAGATTGTACATGTTAATCTACAATTGATGTTATGGATGGGATAAAACTATGTTCTTTTAGACGAACCACCGGTACAGAAACAACCTTGCCAACCGTCCCCTTGTGGAACAAATGCCGTATGTAGAGAACAAAACGGAGTTGGTTCTTGTACATGCTTGCCTGAATACGTTGGAAATCCTTACGAAGGATGCCGTCCCGAATGTACCATTTCGTCAGACTGCCCCGCGCATTTAGCTTGTATCGGATCAAAATGTCAGAATCCATGTCCCGGCTCATGCGGCACCAATACCAATTGCCAAGTTGTCAACAATGTTCCCGTTTGCACTTGTATACCTGGTTACACCGGCAATCCATATGTAAACTGCATTTATCAGGCTCTCAGCAGTAAGTGACGTTAAATACGCGTAAGAGAGAAATTTTATTGAGCACAGATCAAGTAACGTGATAGAAACTTGCATAAGTGAATAAGTTGCATAAATACAACATTATTATAGTTCCCGATGAGAAGCGTGAGCCATGCAAGCCTTCCCCCTGTGGCCCCAACAGTCAATGCGCCGATAATAACGGCCAAGCTATCTGCTCCTGCTTGCCCCAGTTTATCGGAACTCCGCCAAATTGTAGACCGGAATGCTTAGTAAATGCGGAATGCGGATCGAACCGAGCGTGTGTAAATCAAAAATGTGTAGACCCATGCATCGGCACTTGTGGTCGTGATGCTCAATGCAAGGTCGTACATCACAGTCCCATTTGTGTCTGTGCAAGCGGCTTTACGGGCGATCCATTCATCTATTGCTTCGCAGCGCCAAGTATGTTCCGTAGGACATGATATTTTATTTTATAAAAATTTAAAACTTGCTAAAATTAAGAGATTGACGCGTTACCAGTTTCTGATTTAATTTTTTTGTGTGTATATGAAGAATATCAGTTATTACCTTTTCGTAGTTTCGAAACCAGAAGACGCATATCCGAAAAATCCATGCTTGCCTTCACCTTGTGGCCCCAACGCCTTATGCAGAGCCGTTGGCGATACACCAGCGTGCAGTTGCATGCAGAATTACATAGGTGTTCCACCTAATTGCCGGCCCGAGTGCTCGATAAATTCAGATTGTCCCGCTAATAGAGCTTGCATCAGAGAAAAATGTAGAGATCCTTGTCCAGGATCATGTGGCCTCTTGGCGCGCTGTTCAGTGATTAATCATACGCCATCCTGCGTATGTCCTGAAGGATATACTGGCGATCCTTTCGTCAGTTGCAACGTCTCACCTCAAATACCTCGTAAGGACTTGAGTTTCCGTCATGTTATCGCAACGATGTTACAATCTCCGCTGTAATTTGACCTGTGCATATTTCAGTACCTCCTCCAGACCGATGCAATCCATCACCGTGTGGTCAGAACGCTCAATGCAACAACGGGGTTTGCACATGCATACGCGAATACTTTGGAGACCCGTATGCCGGCTGTCGACCGGAATGCGTGATTAACACCGATTGTCCCCGCGATAAGGCATGCATGCTCCACAAATGTCGAGATCCGTGCGTCGGGACGTGCGGCGTTAACGCGGAATGCATTGTTGTTAATCATTTACCCATGTGCAGCTGTCCAAGAAATATGACCGGTAGTGCATTCGTTTCATGTACACCTCTTCAAGGTTTGTATGACTCTTCAGCACGAGAGTATTCGTTTTGCGAATATTTCTCAATCTACGGGAATAATTATCGTTAAATAGATTCGGCCATCGTGGAACAACCGTGCAATCCATCCCCATGCGGCCCAAATAGCCACTGTCGTGCGTCAAATGGTCAGGCGATTTGCGCGTGCATCGCCGGATTTAGAGGCGCCCCACCGTCCTGTAGACCAGAATGTCTCATAAGCACCGACTGCGCTCGCAACAGAGCCTGCAGCAATCAAAAGTGCATCGATCCATGCCTCGGTGCATGCGGATTAACAGCGCAATGTAGCGTCGTGAATCATAATCCCATATGCAGCTGTCCGTCTTTGTATACGGGAGATCCGTTCGTTCAATGCGTTCGGCAACGTAAGGCTTTCACTCATATAACTGGAGATTTAGCTAATATAATTTATATTGTGCCGAAACAAGCGTAACACCTTGCGTAAATTGCAGCGGAAGACCCACAGCCACCAGTAGATCCTTGTCAACCCTCACCTTGTGGCCCAAATGCGATATGTCGAGTCCTCAACGGCGCTCCATCATGCTCATGCTCGCCTCAATTTATCGGCACTCCGCCTAGATGTAGACCAGAGTGTATCAGTAACAGTGAATGCCTCAGTCAGCAGGCTTGCATTAATCAGAAATGCCGTGATCCTTGTCCGGGATCATGCGGTAGAAATGCTGAATGTAGAACCGTCAGTCATACCCCGATGTGCGTTTGCGCCAGTGACTTTACTGGTGATCCATTCATCCAGTGTAATCCCCGGCCGAGTAAGTTTTGATAAAATATAGCAAACATCGCGGAAAATATATTTGATCACAAATTGAGTTGAAAGTATGTTTGAAACATTGGTAAAACATTGTTGAAAAATCTATGGTCCTCTATTCTAGTCGACACACCACTTGTTCCACTAAATCCGTGCCAGCCGTCGCCATGTGGCGCGAATGCTATGTGTCGCGAAATTTCTGGCTCAGCCTCCTGCACTTGCCTGCCCGATTTTTACGGAAATCCGTACGAGGGTTGTAGACCTGAGTGCGTAATTAATTCCGATTGTACATCCAATCGAGCTTGCATAAGGAATAGATGTCAAGACCCTTGTCCAGGAACATGTGGTGTCAATGCGATTTGCGAAGTCATCAGTCACATACCGGCGTGCAGCTGTCAACCGAGATATACCGGAGATCCGTTCAGATACTGCGAGCTCATGCGAGAAAGTCGTAAGTGGATTCAAGCACCTACCCGTTGTTATTACTCGTTTACGGAAGCGCATTGTCTTACCTTTTGCTCGATCTCGTATAGCTCCGATGCCTGTCGGTGACCCTTGTCAGCCGTCACCATGCGGTCCGAATAGTCGATGCCTCAATGTAAACGGTAAAGCCAGCTGTTCATGCCTATCTACCTACCAAGGAACTCCTCCCGATTGCAGACCCGAGTGTATCGTTAGCACAGAATGCCCTATGAATCGCGCGTGCGTCAATCAGAAATGCGTCGATCCATGTCCAGGTGTGTGTGGTATCAACGCCAAGTGCGACGCCCTGTCCCACAGCCCATTCTGCAGTTGCGGACCCAGTCAGATTGGAGATCCCTTCGTTAAGTGTTTCGACATGCCTTGTAAGTCCCGAAAGAAATCCACCGCGAGAACATCGCGCCGCTAAAAGAGTATGAAAATTGTTATTCAATTTTATTCTAGTAATGCCTACACCACCGTTACAAGTCAACCCCTGCGTCCCCTCGCCCTGTGGCCCATTCTCCACGTGTCAAGACAGAGGAGGCTATCCGTCTTGCACGTGCATGTCCAATTACATTGGATCGCCACCTTACTGTCGCGCCGAATGCTCAATTAACTCTGATTGCACCAGCAATAAAGCTTGCATCAGAGAAAAATGCAGGGACCCTTGTCCTGGATCCTGTGGTTTTAATGCCCTGTGCACTGTAATCAACCATACCCCGGCTTGTATGTGTCCCGATGGATACACGGGTGATCCCTTCAGCAATTGTTATCTGGCGCCCATGCGTAAGAACTTTCGTCATATTATTGCTCGCACACACACACAACACACAACACACACACATGCACACACGCACGCACGCACACACACAACACACACACCGATATTGATTTAAATACAAACTAATTGTGCAAAACAATTATTGTTAAATTCACACTTGTATCTTTCGATATAGAAATTCCTACAGTAACGTCAGACCCATGTAACCCGTCGCCATGTGGGCTGAATGCTGAGTGTCGTAACGGAATCTGCACTTGTACACCTGAATATCGTGGCGATCCGTATCGAGAATGTCGACCGGAATGTGTGCAGAATTCTGATTGTCCATTCGATAGAGCTTGCGCAAATAATAAGTGCGTGGACCCCTGTGTCGGAATTTGCGGCCAGAACGCGGAATGTGCAGTTATCAATCACATATCCACATGCAATTGTGTCAAGGATTACGAAGGCGATCCGTTCACCCTTTGTAAACGCGTGAAACGTGAGTCTCCCTTCCTTCCTTTAGTTTACTTTCTGCGACAGGTCTGCCATAGAAAGAAAAAACCCACTAATCGTACCACCTTACGCCTCGATAGCACGCGTCAAACCTTGCGAGCCCTCCCCCTGCGGGCCCAACAGTGTTTGCCGTGAATTCGGCGAGCAAGCCTCCTGTTCTTGCCTACCTGGTTACTTCGGAATCCCACCAAGTTGTAGACCCGAGTGTCTCGTTAGCACCGATTGCGAGCAGAGCAAGGCTTGCGTGAACATGAGATGCCGCAACCCCTGTGAAAATGCTTGTGGCCGGAATGCGCTATGCGTCGTGCGAAATCACAATCCAATTTGCAGGTGCCCCGTTCAGCATTCCGGTGACCCGTTCGTCAACTGTTTCCCCATAAGTAAGTAGCCACCCAGGATGCTCCAAACAACGCAAACACCTAAGAGTCATTGCATAGACTGTCTAAAATTTGATGTCTCAAACCGTGAGAGGAATGAGTGTGTCTTTTGGACGTTCCTTTGATGACTCTTCGTTGTGTTTGAGATGTATTTTCCTTAACTTTGAAACAAATAATGAATTTCTTTTTTCATCGCCAGCAACACTGGATGTAGAACCCACCAAGGACCCGTGTTACCCCTCACCGTGTGGATTGAATTCGCAGTGCGCGGTATCCGCCGATAATACACCCTCCTGCTCCTGTTTGCCTACTTTCATAGGATCTCCACCCAATTGTAGACCCGAATGCCATGTAAACAGCGAATGTCCCACCAATCGAGCATGCATTAAGCAGAAATGTACCGACCCGTGCGTTGGACTGTGCGGATTCAATGCACTGTGCCAAGTTATTTTGCACCAAGCCCGATGCACCTGTCCCGAATCATACACTGGAGACCCATTCACAGTTTGCTCTGAGATAATATGTAAGAAAATCCCCGCTATCTTTACCCATATCAACTGATCTGATGAAAATATTACTCTGGCACCTTATTCAATCAGCATTTTCATCTCTAAAACTTGATTTCTAGATCTTGTAAATATCATTATTGTACATAACTGATATATTTAAAAGAACTGCACGTCAGTTTCTTCACGTATTGATTTGCATCATTTTTCAAGTACTATACTCAACTACTTATTATATATCGATATGCGCAAAATATCTTTTGAATATATGTATTATATACATGTTGCACCTCTTTACATGTACAAAAGACATGTACGATGCACGCAACAGACATGTACATTTGTTTACTTTTATTCTTATGTGCAAATATCTCTATATTTCTGGAAATATTAATTTACGTTATAATGTATATTATAATATGCACTGCATGCAAGAACTTCAAATCGTAGCTACGAATCGTGTGGGAATTAATTGTAAATGTTTTCTGTTGTCATTTTAGCAACTCCAGCACCACCAGTACCATCTAGACCATGCAGCCCTTCACCGTGTGGAATCAACGCGTATTGCCACGAGAGATTCGACACGGCCATTTGCGAGTGCGTGCCCAACTACAGAGGCAATCCATACCAAGGTTGTCAGCCTGAGTGTCTTGTGAATACCGATTGCGCGAAGTCACAAGCATGCATAAAGACAAGGTGTCAAGATCCTTGCCCTGGCACTTGCGGTGTTGGTGCGATTTGCACTGTGTCCAATCATGTCCCCATTTGCTCGTGTCCATTGCCGACGATCGGAGATGCTTTCACACTTTGCCAAGTTCCCGTGGAAGGTAACTTTGCTACCCATATTTTTAGATGCATCATTACTTGATAATTGATCTTTCTAATTGAATTAAAAAAGTTGAATGTTAAATGTAAAAAGTTAAACGAAGCTACATATCTTAAGCTCTTTCTTTCTCTCCTTGCGATGAATGTTATTATTGCTCATTTTTGTATTTAAACTATTATTTTTATATTATTAGATACTAAAGAAACGGATCCGTGCTATCCATCACCGTGCGGTCCGAATACAGTTTGCGAGAAAATTGGCAACACAGCAATTTGTAAATGTTTGCCTGGATTGCAAGGTGTTCCAACGAGTGTAACTGGTTGTCATCCGGAATGTGTTCTCAGTTCGGATTGTCCGGGCGACAAAGCTTGTATACAGAGTAAATGCAAAGATCCCTGCTCTCAGAATGTGTGCGGCAGCAAGGCAGTATGTAAGACGATCAATCACAGCCCACTTTGCAGCTGCCCGTCTCCGTTGATCGGCAATCCCTTCGAAGAATGCTATACAAAGATTGGTGAATAAATAATAATTTGATCAGATATAAAATATATTATATTCTCCAATTGTTTTCCTGTTGTTTTAAACTACGCATTTCTGTTTTAGAAACAAATCCTTGCAGTCCATCACCTTGCAATTATAACGGCGAGTGTAGAGTAAGAAATGGCGTTGCGGTTTGCATCTATCCCGAGTGCATCATCAATTCAGATTGTCCACGCGATAAAGCCTGCTTCTCACAAAAATGCAGAGATCCCTGCATCGGCGCGTGCGGCATCAATTCTATTTGTCAAACTGTTAATCACAAGCCAATTTGTTCTTGTCCGGTTGGATTCACGGGCAATGCACGAGTGCAGTGCACAATTCCAGCCCTTGAAGGTAACATTATATATGTGGAATATATTGACACCTAATATACTTTCTCGAATAGATTTTTTTAATTTCAACATGCAATGTTATTATTACTTTTTAATTTCGCAAATATTCAAGCCGTGTAAATTAACGAAATTGATATTTAAAAAATCATTCTGCCTAGCAAAGTGTTAATCGAAAATAATCAATTTTAAAGCTGAATTTATTAAGAAGTGTGTTTCTTATTGTGTATGACAAAATTTTAATCTTAATTACATCTTTGCAGAACCAATTCCAGAGTGTACACAAAATTCCGAGTGCTCAAATGACAAGACTTGCTTCAATCAAAAGTGCGTTGACCCATGCACTCTTGATTCTTGTGGCCTTAACAGTCGCTGCCATGTACAAATGCACAGAGCTGTGTGTGTTTGCAACGATGGCTACTCCGGATATCCTCAGCAATATTGCCATCAACGTGCGTCAAATAAATATTTTTAACTGACATATTTCTTTTCGTCATATATCACTTTCATTAATATTTCCTTTTACAGTCGGTTGTCGTAGTGATGGCGAATGCTCATTGATTCAATCTTGCATTAACAACGAGTGCATTGATACCTGCCTGGTAACACAGTGCGGTATTAACGCATTATGTACTGCTGACGGATACCATAAGACTCGTTGCTATTGTCCTGATGGATATACGGGTAATCCTTACGAAATATGCGAGAGGCCTGAGTGCACTAGCGACAACGATTGTGCTCTCTCTTTGGCCTGCCGCAACTTGAGATGCGTCAATCCTTGCAACTGTCCACCACCGGCATTGTGCAATGTCGTCAATCATCGACCAGTATGTAAATGTCCACCTGGTTACGTGGGTAATCCTTATACTTCGTGTCTCATGGGTAAGAATCCGTTTTAATATGAGGTTTAGAGAAAAATTTGTAAACTTCATTAAATTAGGAAGTATCTAATATTTACATGAAATGAGAAACTCTATGAAACACTCATATAGAGAATATTATATTTAATTATTATTAATAAATTAATTTATTAATTTACAAGTTAAATTATTGTTAATAAAGTTGAAAATACGTATTTCACAAAAAATAATTTGAATCAGGCTACTGTCTAAAAAACTTGTTAAAATGGTAAATAATTAATTATAATTTGATAGTACTTATACAATATTTATTGCCATTCTAGACCTATTAGAACCAGACACCGAATGTCAAGTTGATGCTGACTGTCCTAGCAAGTTGGCATGTTTCAATGGTATTTGCAAAGATCCGTGCACAGAAACGAAACCATGTATTGTTAGTGCCAAATGTAGCGTCGTAGATACCTTACCGATGAGAACAATGATCTGCGAATGCCTACCGAACTTTGCTGGCGATGCCACCGTTGCCTGCGTGCTAGGTAGACTTTTAATCCAAACAAATATGTACATTAACATATAAAAACATATTTAAACATGTCTAATAAAACAAATTAGCGTCTCTTTTGAAAAATAAATTCAGTTAACTATATTAACGACAAAGTGTTGTATGGTAACTGCATTGCAAATATTTTGTACTTGCAGTGGACAAACAAGTCGCAGCGATATGCGAGAGTGATTTGCAATGCACACCAGGCATGGCCTGTCTAAACCGTAAGTGCATCGATCCGTGCTCTGTTAATCCATGTGCAGCAAATGCAGAGTGTCGCATTGAAAATCATCGCCGCATATGTCAGTGTCCCCACGGACATGCCGGTGATCCGTTCATAAATTGCTACGAAGGTACTATATCGTATGTTTCTCCACTTTTTAATGTAAGCGGATGTGCGTTACTTTATACCTCTCTTTTTCATCCACAGAAAATGTAGTTCTTCCGGAATGCAGACTAAATACCGAATGCCCATCTGACAAAGCGTGCATAAATCAACTATGCCAAGATCCGTGCTCCAGCAATCGTTGTGGCCTAAACGCGGAATGTATCACAATCAATCATCATCCTTCTTGCCACTGCCAACACGGTTTAGCCGGTGATCCACAAGCCCAATGCTTCAGACGTAAGAATCTTATAGACTTTTCATTTTCACGAATTGTCACGTTTCTATAAAAAATACAGGATTGGGAAGTAACTCGTTACTTGTAACGAAGTTACAGTTGTAGTTACTTTTTTGGTAACTCTAACTCAACTTCGTTACTTTCTCTCCATCTGTAACTGTAATTTAACTCGGTTACATTTTTCGAAAACTAGTGAATAATTTAGTATACATTAATAGTTACTTTATACATATTTTAAATCTCTGCAGATCGTATTAGATCTTGAAGTTGCGCATAAACGCCTTTATCCACGCTTTACAATTCAAATGCGGATTTGATATTTTTATTTTCATTGGAAGAAAGTGATTGCAAAGTAACGATTCGTTACTTTTTGAGTAACTGTAATTGTAACGCGTTACTTTTTATAATTGGTAACTTGTAACTGTAACTGTAACTGGTTTTTCGTCTAGTCTAGACTAAACTAGTTTAGTCTTACATTTTTCGCGTAGAAACTATATCTGTAACTAGATACTTTTATAAAGTAACTTTCCCAACCCTGAAAAAATATATATGTACATAAATCTTAAGATAATTAAGCTAATCATTGTTTTAAACATCTGATACGTTTTAATGGCAAAATAAAAAATTTTAAATATGCTGAAGACTAAAAGTTTCTCATTATTTTGGTACGTTACACTCGTTCGTTAACATTCTCTTTGTATTTTAGCGCAATGTAAAACGGACAACGATTGTCCTTATGACAAGACCTGCCGGAACGACAACTGCGTCACTCCGTGTCTCATCGGTGACATTGTGTGCGGTCGGGGTGCTGAGTGCAAAGCGGTGTCTCACAGAGCTCAATGCATCTGCCCACAAGGTACTCAAGGCGATCCACGTGTGGCGTGCATTTCCGCGATCTGTCATTATAATGAAGATTGCGCCGATCACGAGGCCTGCGACAGACTGAACAGAGTTTGCAGGCCGGTTTGCGACGACGATGCCTGTGGCGAGGCCGCGATTTGCGTCGCACGCGATCATCAGCCGAAGTGCACGTGTCCTCCGGGTACTACAGGAAATCCATATATAACATGCATTGGTATGTTGATTCTTAAAATTTCACTTCGTTGTTAATTTCATTGAAAAAGAGTTGATTTTAAATTCATCGATAAAAATGATAACGACGACGATTTCAAGATATCTTGCGTGATGCATTTGTGTAAAAATTTTTTAGGTGAACCTTCCATTGAGCCGGAATGCATACAGGACAGCGAATGCGCATTGAATCTCGCTTGCGTTAACACCAGATGTCAAGACCCGTGTGTGTCCGCTGGTATGTGCACCAGTGAACAAGAGTGCAAAGTCCTGAACACAGTACCGCTTCGTACGATGATCTGCTTGTGTCCACCGAACACGATCACCGATGTTAACGGCCAGTGCCAGCCTATTGGTACATATCAATTTCATAAACTACATTCAGCGTCGAAAAGAATATTTCGTGTGTTATTCAATATCTTTTCTAATCATACAAATGCGTTGCAGTATTGGGCGACGTCCAATGTCATCTGGATCAAGATTGCGCTAACCACGAGACGTGTCTGGATGGAAAATGCATAGACGCCTGTTTGACAACCCAGTGCGGCTTTAATGCGCAATGTAAATCCACATCTCACACTGGTATTTGCTTCTGTTCTCAAGACTTCACAGGCAACGCTTACATAGAATGCATAAGAGGTAAATGCAAAAATTTGAATGAGTTTGACCGCAATTTCCTGCAATTATTGTCGTTTCATCTCCTAGAATGTATGTGCCATTGATTGTATAATTTCTATTGCAGTCCCAGTCGCTCCATTGCCAGGACCTCGACCAGAATGCTACGCGACTAGCGAATGTGCGTACGATAAGCAATGCGTAAATTCGCTCTGTGTAAACCCATGCGTTGCTGGCGATCCTTGTGGCAGGAACTCTCTATGCCATGTCGACAATCATAATCCGATCTGCAAGTGCCCGATCGGCTACATTGGTGATTCTACAACCAAATGCATACCACGTAAGGATTATCAGAAATAAAGATTATATTTTCGAGAAGTCGTGTAACAACCTTTTCTCATATCACCGATATTTTCACAGCGGAGATCACGCCCGAGTGCGTATCGAACAGCGAGTGCGCAGGAAACTATGCATGCGTCAATAGCGCATGCATTAATCCCTGCAACTGCGGACCTAACGCCAAGTGCAACGTCGTAAATCATTATCCTTCTTGCGTGTGTCCTCCAGGCTACTCTGGAAACCCTCAATTAGGATGCTTTAAGCGTAAGTAACATTTGTTATACTTCTTTCTGTATAGCAAGTGAAGTTGTTAACGTTAACAGTATACTTCATGTCGCAAGAACCTCTTGGTTTTTAATTGCATTTCTAATTGCGATTGTTCATTTTAGTCGACTGCGAATCTGACAGCGAGTGTGACTACACAGCTACTTGTTACAACGGCCAATGCGTGAATCCTTGCATCTTAGACAACAAGTGCGCCATCAATGCAGAATGTTACGGCAAAAACCATCGGTCGGCCTGTCGTTGCGGCTCAGGCTATTATGGCAACCCGCAGGTTCATTGCGAGAGGGTCGAATGCAACACCGACCACGATTGTCCTTATAATCTGGCCTGCAACGATGGCCGCTGCGTAAATCCATGCGCCGAGAATTCGCCCTGCGCGCAAAACGCCGTTTGCTACGTCCAGGATCACGTTGCGTCCTGCCGCTGCCCTGAAAACATCCCGCTGGGAAATCCATTTTCTTATTGCGAGCGGCACGTCGCGGAGGAAGTCGAGGAGCCGGAGTGCAGAGTCGACGTCGACTGTTCGGACAAGTTGGTGTGCATCCGGGAGAAATGCATCGATCCTTGCCCAGTTATCAAGCCATGTCTGGAGAACGCTCGTTGCGACGTTCTCGATACGGTGCCTGTAAGAACCATGATCTGCACATGCCCGGAGGGTTGGATCACCGATGTCGACGGTGTATGCAGACCAAGTAAGCGAAGCTAAATACTGCCTTGAGCATATCAATTTAAAAACAATATAAACGTTTAAGAATAATCCGTAATCAATAAATTATTACAATTTCGTAGTACAACTAACGGTCATTGGAACGTGCACGACGAACGACGATTGCGGCGATCGTGAGGCATGCATCAACAGGCAGTGTCGCAACCCCTGCAACTGCGGCACCAACACCGCTTGTTACGTGAGGAACCACAAACCGATCTGCTCGTGTGAGCAGGGCTACCAGGGCAATCCTGAAATCGCCTGTCACTCCGTCGAGTGTCGGCACGACAGCCAGTGCACGCTCGACAAGACCTGCAAGAGTAACAATTGTGTGAACCCGTGTCTGGTCGTAGACCCGTGCGGCACCAATGCCGAGTGCTTCCCGAGCAACCACGTGGCCGACTGCCGCTGTCGCAAGGGCTACCACGGCAATCCTCTGGATCGGTGCCGCGTGATCGGCTGCTACAGCAACGGCGACTGCCCGGGCGACCACTCGTGCATCAACATGCAATGCATCGATCCCTGCATCCATAGCAATCCTTGCTCATCCCGCGCGGAATGCAGGGTCTTGAATCACCTGCCGATATGCCGCTGCCCGTCCGGCTTTACCGGAAACCCGTACATCAATTGCCAACCGGAAATCAGGCCCGAGTGCAGGGAGGACAGCGACTGTCCGGACTCGCTCGCCTGTCTGAGCAACAAGTGCCAGATTCCATGCCCGATTATACAACCGTGTACCGAGCCGTCCGAGTGTCGTGTCCTGCCGACGCATCCAATACGCACTATGGCATGCGTGTGCCCGAGCGGATACGTCAGTAGCGGCAGCGGTACTTGCCAGGCCACCAAGCCGATCCTGAAGATTGAGTGCACCAAGGACGACGACTGTCCGTCGGAGCGGTCCTGCGTGAACGCGATCTGCAGGGATCCTTGCGCGTGCGGACCCAATGCGATTTGCAATGTCATCAATCACAAGCCGATATGCTCGTGCACGCTGGGATACGACGGAAATCCGGATATCTTTTGTACAAGAGGTAAGTTTTCGTTTAAAAGGAACCATTTCTCCTCGCTTAAGACACGTTAATAGAACTTACAAAAGTCATATATATATTTTATGATTATGAAATATAAATTTTTATCTGGTAACATTTGGTATTTCGTTATCTAGTTGCAGGATGCAGAACGGACGGCGATTGCAGCGGTTCGCACGCGTGTGTCCAACGCAACTGCGTGCCAGCTTGCTCGCCGTCTTTGGTTTCCTGCGGCAAGAACGCTGTGTGCCACGGCATCAATCACAAGGCTATTTGCGAGTGCTCGCCCGGTTTCGGTGGCAATCCGCGGGTCTCCTGTGTCCTACTAGGATGCAAGAGCAACTCGGACTGCCCTACCAATAAGGCTTGCATTAACAACCGCTGTGAAAATCCTTGCGTACAAAACCCATGCACCGGCAACATGGATTGCAACGTTTACAATCACGTCGTGGAATGCGCCTGCCCACCTGGCTACGTCGGTGACGTTAAGTCAGGATGTGCTAAGGGTAAAAAAATAAAATAAAATCCGCTTTACTTGCGCTGAAATCAATATATAATTAAGCCTTCGATTTTAACATCTCGTTTCTTCTTGCAGTTAAAGAAAAGTGCAAGGCGGATAACGAATGTCCATCTCAGACTGCGTGCTTCAACGGACAATGCATCAATCCTTGCACCAAAATCGCACCGTGCGGTATTAACGCCGAGTGCAAAGTCTTGGACACCAGCCCGATCAGGACCATGATATGCGAATGTCTCCCAGGATACCGTGGGAACGCCCTTGTCCGCTGCGACCTAGTTCCAGCGGACGTGTGCCCGGTCGGGAAAGGCCAGATTCGCGATGAACACGGCAATTGTGTCTGCCCGCTTGGATTCGGTAAGGACGCGAACGACGTTTGTATACCCTGCCGCAAGCAGTCTAACATGGTGATAAACGAGGAAGGCTACTGCGTGTGCGACTTGGAAAAGGGCTTCAGCATAGATGAATATGGTCGCTGCGTGTGCCCAACGCGATATGGATATGGAATAGACGCCAACGGATACTGCAGACAGAGTAAGTCGTTCAATCTCGTACACCGATCACGGGATGTTTCCCCTCCCACGTCGTTTCGTTAATCTACCATCATGGTTTATTTCAGTTGGTATAATCGAATGCAGACGTAATGACGATTGCGCCGACGACAGATACTGCGACAAAGCCACCCATACTTGTCAAGATCCTTGCAAAAAGCAACAGTGTGGCGTGCACGCGCTTTGCAACGCTACCAGACACCAAGCTGTCTGTATTTGCGTCAACGGCTACTTAGGCAATCCATATACCCAATGCTGTACGTTGAGAATTTGCAGGAATAAACGTGTAGTTTTTTGGTCATTAATTTACAAATATTTAAGATTCGATATCCTTTTAGACAGGACAGAATATATATTTTATCAAGAACTGTGTCTTCTCTAGATAATAGTAAGTTAATCGGTAACATTTGAGGAATCCTTTTGGTATATATCTTTTCTGTTTTTCAGACGACAGAAAGGATGGTCGAACAGATTTCCCTAGACCAGAAATGGATGTAAGCTGTTTGTCAGATGGAGTGCAGGTCGTAATACATCTGCAGGATCAAGACTTCGACGGGGTTTTATATGTTAAAGGACGTAGCAAAGACGAGCAATGCAGACGAGTTGTCTCAATACCCGCCGAAACTGATCACAAAACAGAAACGTTCAAAGTTGCATTTGGCAATTGCGGACTCATACACGTGAATGTTAGTTGAATAGCATCGTATTATAATTGCCTCAATGGTTGATGGAAAGAAATTTACATTATCTTGATTATCCTTCAGGGACAAGCCAGCTTCGTGCTCGTTATACAGAAACATCCAAAATTGATGACTTACAAGGCACAGGCTTATCATATTAAATGTATATATCAAACCGGAGAACAAAACGTTACCCTCGGTTTTAACGTCTCTATGTTGACGACTGCTGGAACAATAGCCAACACCGGTCCACCACCTATATGCGTAATGAAAATAGTTGCGCAGAACGGAAATGAGATTAATTCGGCCGAAATTGGAGATAATCTAATGCTTCAAGTAGAAGTTCAACCTTCAAGTAAGTATATTGAATTTTACTTGTAACAACGCTTCGTGTATACTTTCGATTACTATTCTAGCACTACTTTTGTTGTAAGACAAGATAAATAAATGACATATTGCAGCTATTTATGGTGGATTCGCGCGAAATTGCGTTGCTAAAACAATGGAAGATAATTTGGAGAACGAGTATATCGTAACCGACGAAAATGGCTGCGCAACAGATCCCACAATATTCGGGGAGTGGGAACAAAATCCGGAGACTCAATCGTTAATGGCTAGCTTTAACGCGTTCAAGTTCCCCAGCAGCGATAACATAAGATTCCAGTGCAATATACGCGTATGCTTTGGACGCTGTCAACCTGTTAGTACAATGCAACTCATAATTTGCAATCGTTTTATATGCGTGGTATATAAAATGCCATGAAATGCAAATTTTGATAATAAAACTTTGTTTCTTTTATCGATAGGTAAACTGTCGCGGTTACAACGCCTATGGCCGTCGTCGCAGAGATGTTGATTCCGAGATTAACGACACATCTCTAAGCGTATCCGATGGCTTTGAAGGTCAACTTCGTGAAGAGATAACTATTCAATCAAACTTAATATTCACTCTGGAAAGGAGAGAGGAGAGGTATACAGCAGATCCAGCTGAAGGTGAGGCATAAGATAGCAGAAAGAAATAATGTATGTATAGTGTATTGAAATAAAGGAAGTAATAATTTTTGCGGTACATTTCAGCTCCTTCAGCACAAAGAGTGGAAGATATCTGTGTTTCTATGGTCGGCTTTATCATAGCATTAATAATTACGGCACTTTTGGCACTGGTTGCCGTAGCTATCGCTGTGTCATGCTGGCTTATGGCGTATCGACGTCAGCCAAAGACTGCTGGACCACTGCCACACCCACCAGAGTTCCCAAATCCCTTGTTCACTACTGAATCTGTAGCTGAACCTTCTCCTGACTATCACTTATCATAAGTCCCTTAGAGTAATATTTTATAAATAACATAATTTTTTTATAATTCTCGTGGAATGCATCTCAGACCATTCGTCCTATTGGTCGGCTTTGTATTTCTGTGCACAACTCCTCCAGTGACTATCACTTCGTCTCTTTGTACTCTCTTTTCAAGGGTTCAAACAAGTCACTATTATACAAGTCACGATATATACATTACTATTTATGGTGTTGGTTTGCTTCCATTATCTACTTGCGAGCAAAAACACGGGACTATCTTTCTTTCGTGTATCTTTTCTGTATTATCTTTTCTAGTCAGTGGAGGATTTGTTAAATATAATGCTATGAATTTAATTCCTGTGTAAAGTCAACGAATTAGTCTAATATAGCTTTCTTACTGCGAAAATAGGTAATTGTACATTTTATCCAATAAAATGCTAACAAAATATTTTTAAAACTTTAGTTTTTATTCTTTTCCCTCTTCCTCCGTTACAGTTTGTCACGTATACTTACATAAGATATGATTATCTGATAGATTAATTTTCGTGACTACTTGCCGTCATATAACGCATAGTATATAGTATGTATATATATACTATTTTTTTTATCCGATGCATAGTTTTCGAGATATTTCCATGTCCACACTTAAATTGACCACCCTGTATATGTATCGTATATTATATAAATAGAAAAAATTATCAATGAAGTGAATATATGTATAGTTATGTAATTGTATACCGATTATCTTAACTTCGACTGTAAATGCCAAACATGTAGCAAATATAAAAATCGTTATTTCAGCTCTTCTTGTAGGTATGAAGCAGTCAATTGAATTGGTTCATTGGTTCACTTTTATTTCGCAGACGGATACACTTACCACACAGAATAACCATCTATCTTAATTAAAATCTTGTAATTACACGTTATATATACATAAATTATGACAGTTACATGTCTCTATGATACATGCCGTGGACTAACGTAAATTAATCCTGACCCCTGAGAAACTTTGACATAAAATCAGTCGGCTTCTTTTCCCACGTTTCTCTCCAGTAATGCATAACACCGCCTTTAGGTTTCCATACATTAGCTACCTCTTGCAACTCCATTTGACCCTGTAAAATTATGTATAAATTAAAGATTATATATCATATGTTAGAAGTTAAATTAATTGCCGACGTTCATTTAGGGAGTTTTACAAACGTTGTTTAATTGCTAACCAAAGATTCTCTGCCTCTTCTTGTTAGATAATAAGATAGAAAAAGGTAAGAAATCGACTGGACTCTAACAGTTTTTAACAAACGTTTGTGAAACTGACCCTTAGGGCCAGTTTCACAAACGTCGGTTAACTGCTAACCGAAGGTTAATTGATCCGCTGGCTCTTCTTAAATAATAAGATGAAAAAAGATAGGGAGTCGACTGAACCCTAGTCCGATGTTTGTGAAACTGGCCCTTAAATATCAGCTTTTACAATTGATTCTTAATTCTTATACTTCTACCTTTATAATAACTTTATCTATAATCCTTAAATCAGTGAGATGAGTATGGCGCCTGAACTCCTCGCGTATTTTCTTCTTACATTCTGCTTCATTTTTTGGAATATCGTAACTTAACACTGCAAAAAGAAGATAAATGTTATGCACTTGACGATACACACTAGGAATCACCGATGCCCTCCGATATGTATTTAGCCACAGACAGAGCACATATACATTTTCCATGTATGTATATGCAAAATGTATAAATGTGTGATATGTGCACAGATTCATGTGAAAATCAGTAATTCCTAGCGTATTATATCAGTAATTCCATAGTGTATACGTCAATAGGTTAAGTAACGAAAGCACAAAGGATCGCAATTTTGTATACGACAGAAAATTGCGTACGTGAAGTTGGTACTTGACGGATCCACGCTTTATACAACGTGAGCACTTTTCGGCGCGCATCCTCCCGATTAACAGACAGGATTGGTTTCACTTGGCGAACGACAGGCGAGGCTCGGCTGGCCATTTTCATCGACTACCATCGACTACTCAGGAACATTGACGCAATTACGATGCACAGTCGGTAACGGCGATACATAACTGCATTATCAAGAGACACTGTACTCGCGGTCTCGCGATAAGTATATGGTTTTCGTATGATTTCACTATGATTTTTAACAGTTTTCTTATGTAGAAACGACACCCTAGTCCATAAACGGTCTCCATACGACGATCCTTTCTAGACTTGGATTTCTGGACTTGCGTTAATTAGAAGTAATCTTTTCTTTTTCTAGACTATTAATCTTATTGTTATAGTTCTAATTGCACGATATTGTTCTTATATGTATATTACGTTCTCGATTGTCATTGCTTGAAAGCTTGAAAGACTGGTTCGTGAAATAAAACTCGCTCTGTATGAGTAATCTTATACACGATTTAAGATTTATTAGCTGATATATTAACTTTAACATGATTTGCTACATGCCATAAAAAAGGATAATGAAAATATGTTGTATAAATTATCCTTTAATAACTGCAATTGGTCGCAATTTAATACATTTCTTGGAAATTCCCGCTGCGTGACAAGTATTGACGACATCCGTTACATTTTTATAGGATTCTGGTGCCTCCTCCATAACTAATTTCGGCGAAGCAACTCGAATCGATATACCTAATTCTTCTAATTTTTCCAAAACTTGCATATAATCCAAGTTCCTACGTGACTTGGCTCTTGAGAGAGCACGACCCTGTACACACAGACACACACACAACAACACACATGTGTATATATATTTTTTAGTATATAAGGATCTTACATATCATTACTTTACATAAGCGTATTACTTGTGAATTAAAGTTAGAAATTAAAGATTAATATATGCATAAATGACACACGTGTATAAAATTGTTGTAATTCCTATACTTACAGCACCGTGACACGTTGATCCAAACGTTTCTTTCATACCCTGTTCCGTACCAGTCAAAACATAACTGCATGTACCCATTGTACCACCGATTAAGACTGGTTGGCCTGTTAATTGATAATCTACAGGAATCAAAGGATGGTGTGGTGGAAAAGCTCTTGTCGATCCCTTTAAGCAAAATACGTTTTTACGATATGTATACATATGAATAAGGTCTGTATTATATTTACATCAATATAAAAATTCAATTATTATTTAGTTATACTGTATACATGTGTCTCAACGCTTACCTTTCTATGAACTAAGAGTGTCTTCTGCTTTCCCTCAACTATGTGTTCTTCTATTTTAGCAATATTATGAGACACATCATAAATGACATGCATATCTAAGTCATCGGGAGATGAGTTGAATTGCTTTGCAAATGCCTATTAAAAAGCATATTGTGTACTGTTTAACATTTTTATTAATTAACGTTTATGCACATATATGTATGTATTTTTTTAATACCTGTCGGCTAAGGAATGTCATAGAACTCCTGTTAACCCACGCAAAATTGGCAGCAGCTGCCATCGCTTTTAAATAATCTTGACCTTCTTGAGACTTTATATGAGCACATGCAAGCTGTCTGTCGTTGGTTTCAATATTGTCGCGCTTCATAGCTTTTTCCATTTGTACAAGTGCATCTGAAATGTTTTATTATATAAAACGACATGTAGTTTTTAAAATAGTTTCTAGAGATTCATAAGAAAGAGAAATGAAAAACATATGTAATTTATAACCTAAACTAACCTGTGGCAACTTGATGACCAAATCCTCTGCTCCCCGAATGGATCATAACACAAATTTGTCCTTTTTCTTCAATGCCCATTTTACATGCTGCCAATTTGTCATATATTTCATCTACGACTTGAATCTCTGCATAATGGTTTCCAGCTCCTAACGTACCTAACTAATGTAAAATATAAACTTATAATACATAGGTACATATACGTATTATGTGCAGAGTTGGGGAAAGTTATTGTATAAAAATGTCTAGTTACAGTTACAGTCTTTTCGTTAAAAAAGTAACGCGTTACAAGTACAGTTATTCAAAAGGTAATAAATCGTTACTTTGCAGTTACTTTTTTGCAATGAAAGTGAAAATATCAAATCTGCATTTGAATTGTAGAGCGTCGATGAAGGCGTTTATGCGCAAATGCAAGGCGATCTGTGGAGGTTTAAAGTATATGTAAAATAACTCTTATTGTTAGTATTTAACTATTAAATTAATATTGAATTAACTATTAAATTAGTTATTAGTTATCGAAAAAATGTAACTAAATTAAGTTACAGTTACAGATGAAGAGAAAGTAACGAGTTAGAGTTAACAAAAGAAAGTAACTATAACTGTAACTTCGTTACAAGTAACGAGTTACTTCCCAACCTTGATGACATAATTATTTATACATTGTTACGCCCGCGTTCGGAAGGCGACGTTCGGTACCGTGGCGGGTTGCCATGATTTCAATTATTTTGTAAATGAGTTGTATTGATTTTAATTGGAATTAGAAGTTTGGCTTTCGAGCTAGGCGGACGTTCTCTCGCTAAATAAAGTCTATCGTTCTCTCTTTAATCCTTTGTGATTTATTGGAACGCGTGTGACGTGTTGTGCCTGTGCGCGAGTGACGTGATCAGCGACTGCGGCGCGGAAGGCATGACAATATTTTTCCAAATATTTGTTATATCTTACTTGAGGAAGTCCGCGTTTCTTAGCTCTCATTGATACTTTTGATGGATCGGCATTAAGCATTCTTCCATATTCCTCACAATGTTCTTTGTCCTCAGCCCAAATGTAACCTGAGTACATTTTGTACGAGTATTTCATAAATATTTTTGTTTTATTTCATCATAATATTGTATTTTCTGTCCTCACCTTCCCTCAAAGACCAATCCATCCCCATTTCTAAAGCTTCCTCCAAATCACGTGCATTCATTGGTATAATTCCTTTAGATCCAACACCAACTGGAATGTGATCAAACATACTTTGGGCGAGTTGCTCCTAAAAAATTTTTTATATTATAGTATCTTATATACTTTATACTATTATACATATACGTAACAGATATCTACATTACTATTTTACAATGCACAAAATTATAAAAATAATTATTAAAAAGAAAGAATAATTTATATTTTACTAAAACATAGATATTTTACTTTCACTGGTAAGACGTCTTTCTCAAATAAATTTGTTCGTAATAGACGAACACCGCAATTAATATCAAAGCCTACACCACCGGGCGATACAATTGACTGTGGATCATCCATGTCGAATGCTGCCATATTGCCTGAATAAAATTATATTTATTTATTATCTTATTGATTTGATGTAGTCGCAAATTATTTTGGATTCTACCTCGTTGGGAATATTTTTACCGAAAATAATAAAGTTTTACTGAAATATACTTGACAAATTTTCTGAATTGACTCCATTTCATTATTTCATTAAAAATGATTTCAAAACTATTTCATTAAAAAGTAATAGATTTTAGTTAAATTCAATACATTACATAATATTTAATATTTCACAATTTTTTAATTACTTTTCAAGAATATATTTTAACTTACTTTATATTTCACAGTATTATATTAAATTTTTATAAGAAAAATTGTGATATCTCTTGAGATATACATTAATTTTTTAACAAATCTTATTTTATTTTACGTCAATTTCATAATAAAATAAAACTTTCAACAAAAATATTTCCATCAAAGACATGCCTTAAAAATACTCTAGGAAACAGAAAATAATGTATTTTACCAATAGCAAAACCATATCCAGAGTGTATATCTGGTAAACCGACAGATCTCCAGACAATACCAGGTAAAGCTGCTACATTGGCAATTTGTTTCACTCCAGGGAGGAAACCTCCAACTGCACCTGGCCGACATGCATTGCGCAACTCATCAAACATCAAACGTTCCAATGTGTTATTCACATAAAACACTCCTTCAACCTTGAATTACAATTTATAGAATAAAATAAGTGTGTAGCTATAAGTAATAATAATGTAAATTATACATTTTGAAATAACTGATGTATGTACTTCTTAGGGCGTTTCACAAACGTCGTTTAACCGCTAACCCATGGTTAATTGATCCTCTGTCTCTTCTTGGATAACAAGATAGAGAAAGATAGGAAGTCGACTGAACTCTGGTTAACAGTTAACCGACGATTGTGAAACTGGACCTTAATGTCTATCTTGCCATTCTACATACATAAAGGCGTTATCTTAATAATAGTACAACTTCATTTTCATTAATTTCGAGATATCGATCAATTTGAATAAAAGAAAAGGAAATTAAGGAGTTTTGCTAACATGCCATATCCTATGCTAGTTGTGAGTTTCTCAAGTGTAAATTTGTGTGTAAGCCCGAAAGTGAGGTTAACTCCAATGTCATAAAAAGTGGAGTTGCACAAGTAAAATAACGCCTTCATATATGTCTAATAGAAAAGAATTACCTTCATGTTAGGCTGAAAGCCTTTTTTGATTCTCCAACAACATTCGTTAATTTTCTCCAAGTATTTAAGCTCCTCTTGATACTGCCTTACAACCATTTTTCTGAAAAAAAATACCAAAGATAAGATCGCATGTATTGTGAAAGGTAGAAGCAACAAATTTAAACAAAAAAGTATAGTTTAACATTATACAGAGAAATGTTATTCTTTTATATGCAGGATTATCTGACGCATTATACTCGACAGGAAGCAACATGTATATTATTCAGAGTAATATTTTGACAATATCGATATTACTTTCTGCGTGCATGTGATACAATATTTACCACAATTGTAAATGATTCTTCGGCGAAATTCGATACGATACAACGCCAATCTCTAACAGATCAGATGCTTCCTGCTCCACACTCCACACTGTAATAATAGGTATGAAGAATTGACGCTTCAGAGGCAATAACACGCAACATTTGCAATTCACCTAGCGACGGTTGACCATAAGCGCAACGTGGATACGTAGATAAGGCAGTTTTAATTATATTAATTCTTGTGTATCAGCAGAGGAAAACCTGATCGAGAGCGCGCCATGCGTTATACGTACGCCGGCGTTTTACGTTTTCTTCGACTGCAGATTCCAGCGCTTTACGCCCATTTCATTTTTGGAACTATATATATTCCGCTACACCCATTTTCAAGCACTGCCGATAAAGTCTCCACTTGGTGCGTGTCTGTGCTACGCCCATTTTTAAGAGGGTAATGCAGTGCCTAATGTTGAAGATAAAGAATGATGCTGAAGAATCAAAATATGATGTTGAAGAATTAAAATAGGACGTTGAAGAATCAAAATATGATGTTGAAGAATCAAAATATGATGCTGAAGAATTAAAATATGATGTTGAAGAATTAAAATATGACGTTGAAGATGGATGCCATATATGGAGGTAGAAATTTCGAAGAAACCATGTTTCCTGAGTCGCTAGAACGGTCACTTCTTGCGGTTCCCTTGTAAGATTGAAAGTTGAAAAACCAAACAGACAAACGTACAATTGATCCAACGATCCCTCTTTCATCAAGAGTTAATAAAATCATAAGACTTCTCTTCTTTCATCGGGAATATCATAATAATACAATAGCAATATCCATGTAATAATAGCAATAATAGCAATAATTCTTTTAATTTATATTTTATCTTTATACATTGATATATTATTATTTAGTTATATACATTTGACAACATGATATATTACTAAGCACCTTAAGTGTAATTTAGTTTACTTCTCACAGCCATGTGTGTGTGTGTGTGTGTGTGTGTATGTGTGTGTACGCGCGCGCGCGTGTGGTACGTGCGTGTGTGTGCGCGTTTATATAATCGATATCGGAATGCTCGAGGAATTCTTCGTTTATTTTTAGGTAATCTTTGCAGATTTACTGCTACACGTTATTTTTTTCTGGATTTATGTAGAGATAAAATTATAAGAGTTACCTACAAAATAAATACTTTAACCATTCTGATATCGACTATACGCGATGCCATCCTACTCTTTTTTTTATATTAAACGAAATAAATTGTTGGATAAACTAAAAAAGTGTCTGTGGTGTATTTTGGTCATGATTTTTATGAAATGCTTTGTTTTTCTATTATACATTCGAATTCAAAATCTTAACAAAAAGAACAGGAGAGCAGTCCTGTAAAAGTTTTTTTTTCCATGCCTCGATACACACATTTTAGTACAAGAGTTATAAAATATCTAGATATTAAAAATATATACATTGTAGTCGGTAACTTATAAATTGCACATATCTAACAATAAGCTAGAAAAAGATGGCAACAATCGTAATTCGTAAATGTATCTTTCACATATGTCCCATACAGCACCGAAGCTATCAGAAACATTGCAACAATGTTTTCTGAAATGTTTCTGAAAGCTTTGGTGCTGTATGGGGTAGTTCGTGCGTGTGACAGCGGCTAGTGTTAACACGTGATTCTATTAATTGCTACTTGATTCGTCGCATTAAGAAGAAAAAGAAAATTTCATAAATGTATTTTTCACATATGTAGTTCGTGCATGTGACAGCGACTGGTGTTTACACGTAATTCTATTTATTGCTATTCGATTCGTCGCATTAAAAAGAAAAAGGAAA